TAATTGGTTTCAATTTATAATTGAACTGTGTACTTACTGGTTAGTTTTAAGATGGAATCCTCCTCGAGATAAAAACAAAAGTAAACATTTTTTTTTTAATATTCATTTCTCGCCAAAAATTAAGCTTTAAACATATCATGGAAAAACCTTTAAACAAATATGGATTTCAAGCCTAACGATTCACGTGGTACTGTTTTTTTTAATATTTCGGATCAACAATTTTGTAAACAAAACGTTTTAAATTATTTTAAATGTGATGATTAATTTATGTCTTGAAATAAATTCGGGTAAAACAAAATACACAGTTGGTAGGATAATAAGCAATGATTTTAAGAATATAGATATAAAAGGAATATGTATGTATATCATTAAAATACCTGCGGTCTGCCATAACTTGGAAAATAGGCATGCTGGAGGAATAGCTTCTTATTTCGCAGCTATTTTAAAAATAGGCTCAATAGCAAGATTATATTGTTTACAACGATACATAAAAATTATATCAGATTATCTTTTAAAAAAAATGGTGTAAACAGCATTAACAATTAAAGTTGATTTATGCTTTTTAAATCACCATTAAACAAATCTTATTTGCGTAAGCTCATTAAAATGATCATTGTTTTATTATTACTAACAGTAATTATTCCTAAAAAAGGCTATAATGATATTTATGAAAGCAGGTAGTTGGGAATTGCCGTGACGAAAATTAATTGTAATTAGTTACGCCTTGTTTAGATTTATTTGAATATTGAATAAAATTTAATGACTGAATTTGCCGAAATGACGTTCATAGGATTATTGCCACTTTTTGCTGAGCTGTGAATAGAAAAGGATTAATTGAGGGCAATTAGTTTTTCTGTCCTTTTTCTTTTAATCTTTCCTTTTTCTTTCACAATTATATTTTTAAAAAAAAAACAAGTACATGCAACTTTCGCGTAGCTAACCAATGTTTAGCCCAGGTTGGCCGGACAGATACTTAGAGGGAGAAGGCGACATATTCTATAATAGCCATCATCCAAGTGTAAAAATGTAAAAACAACATTTAATTGCAGTTTTATACAAAGTTTAATACCAGTTATTATTTTAGCAGGCAAATACGTTTTCATCAATGAAGTAAATACGTTTTTAAGTTTTATTTTTTTACTATTAATATTATTAAAAAGTAAAAAAGTAGGAAGGCCAGGCAGGAGCTTGGGAAGGCATGTGCTCTTCTAAAGACAATTCTGTCTTCTCCGGTATAGTTCTGGTCATGCCTTCTATGCGTTCGCTAATTATGTGTGATGTGAAGTAAGTTTGCTATGGCTCCAAGGACTTTTCTTTTAAGCAATTTCCCTTAAAGTAGGGTGAAAAGAAGTTCACTTTAGTGATGGCCCGGATATCTGTGAAACGCAGGCTCGAATGGACCAAAGTGAATAACTTTATGCGTTCAATTTCTATCGTAGTTTCAATTCGAGTGTCTTCCAAGAAGTGAGTTTAAAAGGTTGTTTTAGGTTCAAGATTTTACTTCTGCAGCCTCGTAATCGAAGGTATTCAGTCATGTAGTAGTATTGTAGTCATGCTTATCGTTGAAAACATTGTTGCCCTCTTAACTGGAGACTTCAACTCACGTATTCGAATCCATTCGACGGGCATAACTACCATTGCTTTGATTTTGATGGCAATGGCGCGTTGCCCGGCAACCTTATAACCGAAGTTATACGGAATAGAATAAGTAGGAATTGGCTTCCCGATGCCAGTGTGATTTTTAACTCAGGCATTGATCTCCCGCCCTCACCTTCTGGCTAGGGAAAACCCCGTCTAAGGCGAAGTAGGGAAGAACGAAAAAAAAAAATAAAAATAGTCCCTCCTAACTCAATTTTATTTTGGATTTTCAATATTATTAGATCACAGCTGGATACGCTATTTCTTTCAGGAACTTAATACGATTGAACAGCCTTGCAATATTTTTGTAGTTCTCTCGGTGAGATGCTGTCTTAATTAGCATTGTTCTGAGTGGCAGAAATATGTTGCTATTTGACATTCTCAACTCCAATAGTCCAAAATAAACTGTCGTGATATTCAGAAATAAATGTATACAATTTTCGCATAAGAGATTTGTCTACAGTGCCGTCATGTATAGTCTTCCACCATTTTTAATGGCCGTAGTTGAATATTCCATTACTCTGAATGCAGATTGATTTTAGAGTATCGTGTTTTCATAGGGCAGTTTGATAACAAGCATTTTGTATTGTAGAACTTCTAAGGTTTAAGGGCACGTTGGAGTGGAACGTTTAATCATCTCAAGTACGAGACACACTATGGTGATTATAGGCCTTCCAAAACATATTTAAATCTTGACAGGAACTGGTTTCATATATCCAAGAAATGTCTAAATCGGTAAAACCATTTCCTCGAATATTTTCATTTACATACAACGTCCTTCTAAACATATAAGGAGTTGTATGTGGTCGAATCCCATTTTTTTACTACAATATCTGAATTTTATGATCCAAAACAATCTCAAGCCATTTCCTTTGTCAATCAGCTTTAGGCTCTCAATAATTTATAGCCGGACACCTTGATTCTCTGTTTATGTACCTTTTTATTAATATAGACGTTGGCGAAAGCCTTGGCCGAGATTGAGTAATTTTTTTTTCTTTATACGACCGTATAAAAATGAATTGGTAATTATATGCCTTATTATAAACCGATTATTAGGCTTCTCGCCGGCCTTAAATAGAATACTAGCTTAATTACCGCTAATTGTGTTCTATATTGAGACATTTCGGAACCAAATTATGTCCTTCCATTTTAATTGTTAGACGTTGTCAAATTATTTATAAACAGCTACTCTGAGTATCATTGGCACAAAAAAAATAATTGCATCCATTGCATCATGGTATATTATTTATTTGCCCTGATTTCATTTGGAAATTTCTCAGAGGTGTAATTACAACTGATTACCATTTAATTAATACTTTTCTCTTGAAATTTTGCTGTCATGTGTAATTTTACGCCGGCCTAAGGCGGACAAAAATGTCACTTGTAAGATTGAACCGGTCCTAAAATTTCACAATCGAAAGTTCCCTTCAAGTTCTAGACTTTTCTAAGGATTGCTTAAAAATTTCTAGTAATTTTCATCATCACATTCACTTTTATCGTAGCACGTAATTGTTTTCAAGATTAGAAAGAAAATTGGTAATGACTTAGTTTGAAAGTTGCAATATTATGACGTAATCATAATTTCTAATACGTTGCATAATAATTTTATTTTTTATAACAAACATTAAGCGGTGTTAAAAGGTCAGTTCCAAATCGGAGATGGACAGATTAGGAAAGGGACTGAAATCACAGGTTCTCGAATGCTTATTTTCGTCCTTATGTAAACATTCTTTCCGATTGAGAAGAATGGTAGAGAGAATGGTGATTTATACTTTATCCCTTCTGATCCAAATAAATTTAATTTTTACTATTTTAAAAATGGAGTTGAATCATCCATTTCCCTTAACATGGACGACTCCTATCACGGAACTGTTATCAAAGGTTGTAAGTGATGTAGATCATTTTTCAAGAACTCATGAGTTCAATCGAAATAATAAAAAATGTAAGTTACAGTAAAAAAAGTTTTTTTTTAAATTCATATTTCATTTTTTATCATATATATAGCTAGGACAAGATAAGATCTATACTTATTGAACATTTTACTATGGATAAATAAAATTATGTCCAAACTAAATATTTAGCAAAACATTAACACAATCATATCTTGGTAAGAAATTTATCAACCATCCAGAAAGCTGATATCCAAGAAATTGATAAACCTTTCGAAATTTAAATCTCTGAAGGTTTGCGTTCCCACGCACCAGCATCTCCACTTCCATCTTAATGTTCGACACACACTTAGTCTTATCTTAAGTGATTTTATTGATATTTTTATGAAAAATCTAACACCTACTGCGACACCCGTTTGGAATGTAAAATAATTCATATTATAGCTATCAGCTGATGACCTTATCGGAATTTTTTTTAAATGGATTATAGATGCTTAAATTAGACTTTGGGAGGGGAAAAAATGGTCATAAAACACATTGGCATTTGTCTGACTTTTATTCGAATGTTTTTCACTTATAACGAGCCCATGCCTCAAATTTTACAACTTTTTAACTACCACACAGAGCGAGAAATTCAAATTGAGACATCTTCCTTCCGTGGATAGAGGTCGCGCGGAGGCGAAGATACCTTTCGATGAACATGTTCGCTGAGGAAGGTCTACCGCTCGTCGTCCAGGGCTATGTTATTGCTATATCTTCAAGGAATACAATATTCTTCAGTTAGTACTTCATCGTCAGGAGTGATGCACGTTTCCTTTTTTTTAATAAGACACCGACTTCATATCTGGTATGTGAATCCTTGTAAACATTGTCTTATGTCATCTTTAGAGACTTATTATAAGGAATGAATAAGTGTTAGTGCTATGAAAAACATGAAGAGAGATGATTACTGTCCTATTGATGATTGTCCTGCCTACAAAGAAAATGTGAAATACGAGTAATAATCACGCATTTACTTCTTTCCAAAATTTTACCTTCAATAAAATTATAAATAGACAAGAACTACACTGTATCTACTAATGTAGTGTAGATTCCTTTACCGGCTCTCGTGAGCGATGGATTTTGATAAATGAGATTTCAAAATAAAGGAATCACATAGAGAAGTGATGGTTTTCATTTACGATCCTGAATTCCCCACAAGGACTTAAAAAAATTGGGGATATTATTGTCCTGTATATAGTATACGAACTAACATGTTTATCTGATGCTGCTAATACGTCAAATGCATTATCGAGGAGAATATTAATCTAATATAGGAGTTTTTACAAAAATATATTAGTTATTCTTTATCTCAATAAAATTCTGTCAATCTTTTTATTATTTCAATATCATAAGCCTTATTTAAAATTTAAAATATTTCTAATTCTTGTTTTATTTTCATTTCCAGAGGAACTACAAGATTTCGAGGGCAGGATGGTGTCAGGTGGGGAGGACCTGAAAAAGAAAGGTGAAGATGGAGTATTCACCGTGAGCGTAGTTGGAGGCGGCGGAGTCGGCTATGACAACCAGGGGTACGACGGTGAACTAGGAGTTAAACCGCCCCCTCCCATCATCGAAGATGAGAAGAAGAAGATCAAATTGTCCCGCAAGGAGAAGTGGAGGATTCTCATGAACGTCGCAGCTGTCTCCTTCGCTTTCATGGTCCAGTTCACAGCCTTCCAGGGGACGGCCAACCTCCAGTCGTCGATAAACGCCAACGAAGGCCTCGGTACGGTCTCCTTATCGGCCATCTACGCCGCCCTCGTATTATCCTGCATCTTCGTTCCTACCTTCCTCATCAAGAGGTTAACTGTCAAATGGACTCTGTGCTGCTCCATGCTCTGCTATGCCCCCTACATCATGGCCCAGTTCTACCCCAGGTAACAATAAAGTTTTTAATAACAACTTAAAGTATAGAGGAATAGGGATTTAAAGTTTCCTTGGATTTCTAACGTACATATTTTGAGCACAAGATATATAAACAAGAACAAACATCAGGCTAATTAAAAATACATTAAAATTTGCCTATAACTCTTTGACAAGGAGAATTTATAATATTTTATTTTTTACCGAGATAATCAAAACGTGATAGAAAAATCGCACTTGATTATTTAATTGTTTATTCTCGTGAAACGAAAGGTAATTTATTTTAAAAAGGGCGAGATTCTTTTTAGTATAGATTTTTATTGTTATTAAATGTTTTGACCGAAGACCTTAAATATAACAATAATTCAGTCAAAAGTGTCCATTTATGTTTCAAACCTTACCTTACACACTGACCTTTACACTCCTTTCATCTCGACAATTGCCACTGACCGCTTTAATAATTTTCATGACAAACTGACTCTAAATTCAAACAATACGCGAGGAGCTCCAGCTCCCCTCGGTACCTGAGTTCATAGGCCGGAGGCACATCAAATTTTTTGATGGGCTGAAGGCCTGTGCAAACCCACTGTTCAATGAGATCTCACCACCACCCAGACCTGGGAGGTGGCAAGGTAAACTCCCTTTGGTGGACATACTCGCCGAAGGATGTGGTCTGGTCTCTGCGGTCCAAACTCATTAATTTGTATATATTGTAAATAATAAAACATTAGCAGAACGGTCCTTCCCCGTTCAATGTCAAAGTCACAAGGCCTTCTGCCACATATGTAACCTTTAGCTATCCCCAATCCTTAAAATGCCCTCGGGCAGTGGAAGGAATTTATTACATGTTTATATTGTATTATTGTATACTATATATGTAATTGTTTCAATAAACTTTTGGAGGGTAAGAAAAAAAAAAAAAAAAAAAAAAAAAAAAAAAAAAATCTAAATTCAAACCAACTTACTCAAGCTCTATCTACTGCCATAAATCTACATAATCCGCCCAAAAGACCGCTGAGGTGTTGGCCGACAGACTTGCTGCATTGAGCCACTTGCTATGTTAACTTTTGCTTTTGTGTTATCATGTTATCTTATTTTCATTTCTTTCCTTTTTTTTTTCTTGCTTGTTTTTTTTGCTGTTTCGGTCTCCTTAATATCATATTTGCTCAATACAGAAGTAGAAGGCAAATTTATTGTATGCCAGAAATATTTTCAACTTATAAATAAATAAAAATATTTATAAATCCCATCAAATTACTTTTACCCTTCGTCGTAAACCCACAACTTCTTGCCCTAAAATATCCTTCAATGATATTCCACTTGTTCCTGTTAAACAAATCCGCTACCTTGGAATCCACATACTAGACTGAAACGATAAGAAACTGCTCGACGTTTCCGACTGCTCCAACACTTACTAGACAAACGCTCTAAACTTTCAATTAATTACAAAAAACTTTTCTACTTAACCATAATAAGACATATATGGACTTACGGAATTGAGCTTTGGGGTTCTACCAACCATCGAATTCCTATCGTATCCAATCCTTACAATCCAAAATCCTTAATGCCCCATATTTTGTCACAAATAAAACCATTCATGAAAATCTTAATGTTCCATATGTCGCTGATTTAGCTCGAGCCAGATATCTATCCTTTCATGATAAACTCCAGTTCCATCCAAATCCACTTGTTTCCTTGCTTCTTCCTCGATTCCTGATAATCCCCCTAGGCGTCTGAAAAGAAGAAGGCCACATGATCTTCTCACTTAGAATTAATTAGGGAGTGGTAACTGGTCAGTATCTCTTCAAGTCTGTTCATTATTTCCAATGTGTGCATTTTTACTAGTTGTATTGTTTATACAGTTGTAAATTTTATTAAATAAATTTAAAAAAAAAACTATTGTCTTTGATAAAGGCATTAGTTGATAACAATTTATGATATTCATAACAACTATAGTTCTTAAATTTATTTGTATACAAAAATAATAAACCTTTGGGTGAAAGAAACAGTAGATCAATTTGTTCTTGATACTAACTTGTTACTTGACATCTAGATGGCAATCCTATCATTTAAGTTGATAATGATTGATTAAAGGATATAGGTTTAAATAATACTGCCATTGAGATATGAAGGAGGCTGTAGATATTTGTTTGCCGCTCAGGTTCTACACGCTGGTGCCGGCGGGAGTCCTGCTGGGGCTGGGGGCGGCTCCGATGTGGGCGGCCAAGGCGACCTACCTCACGCAGGCCGGAGCTGTCTACGCCAAGCTCACTGACCAGCCGGTCGACGGCATTGTTGTCAGGTTCTTCGGTTTCTTCTTCCTCGCGTGGCAGACTGCTGAGCTCTGGGGAAACCTTATATCTTCTCTTGGTAAGTGCCAACTCTCATTGCTCTTTTATCGTAATTCCTTTAATAATTTTACTCAAGTTCATAGCATAGGTACTGACTTCGGTAGTCCTTCCATCCTCCCTATATTTTGAAGAACAAAAATATAATAAAAATCGATAACAATTAATCTACATGAATGAAATAGTCTGCATAAAATATGTGAACTAGAATCAATCAAGAACATAGAAAAACTCGACTAAATGGCTAGAAGCTAAAGGTACTCAAATATTTTACCAGGTCTTATGTCTCTAAGATAAAAAATGTATTTTATATTCAAAGGTAATTATATGTAGTAACATATCCTATAGTGTTGCCCAAATGAGAGACCAAGACAAGTCTTGGTCTTGCAAACTCAGTCTTGTTCATGGTCTTGGTCTTGCGCAGTTACGTATTAGCTTATTACTATAGAGATATTACTGTACTTATTTACACAGTAGAAACCTAACTAAGCCCGAATGAAAAATTATAGGAGTTAAATGCAAAAGTATATTGATTATAACAATTATTAACATATAGTAACTGAAATTGTCAAGTACTAGTAACTATTTTGCCTTAATTTTTATTTTAAAAAATCGATTTTTTTACCAGTCCTGGTCTTGGTCTTGCACTTTGCAAGACCGAGACCGATTTGGGCAACACTAATATCCTACCATTTTATGATTCATTCATGAACATCCTTCCATTTTTATGTGCTGATTTTATCATATTTCCCACAACAAATTTGAAAATTTAGAGTTCACCTCACTGCATAAAACCAAAAATATGCAATATATTCAATCGCTTTGTTAACATATTTTCAAATATAACCATACGCAAAAAAAAAAAAAATTAATATATAAACACACACATATATATAAATTTATTTTTATAGTATTGTTCGTTTTACGATTATTATGTTAATTATCAATCATAATTTTCATGAATAATATTAACACCCAAGACTTTTTTTAGGAAGTTCTATCGCCCCCTTTCCCTCCCAACCAGGAAAATTGCGCCTATGGTTCATAGTATCGGTATGAACATCAGATCTTCCATTTCGCTGAGTTAAGAAAAACCCTAGAAGTCACTTTTTGATGATATTTAAAATAAGGCAGGTTTCCATTTTTTTTTTTTTTTTTAGATTGATATTTGTTTAGCTAGGATTATCATATAAATCTGACTTATTTTTACTGTTTTATAATTTATTAATTTAAAAACGAGCTTACTTTTTTTCCATTGAGTCCGGCCCACGAGAGTTCTGTTTATTATTTGAAAAAAATCTTTTTTTATAAATAAGCATAAGATAGTTTTTTAGAATTGGCAAATCCAAGAATCATAATGAACTCACACCTACCGAGCTGTATTCAGGGTCGGTTACATTTCAATTATAAGTCGTTTTGGTTTCTACTGAACTATAACGTATTGGTCTCAATTGATTTCTCGTTGTTGGCCGAGAATTTTATTACCTGTGACTTATGTGGGTCTTGAATTAATGTTTTGCTAATAACATAATAGGAAAAGGATGTAAACTCACATCATCTGAAAGTTATTTAATGTTGGCCATTGTTAAATGATATTTAGATGAGAAATGAGTTCGTTTTATTTAGTTCTCCAACTATGCTTGTATTCGTTATCAGGGCATTAAAAGTGCGGCTAAAACGATGTCCGTTCTGTAAGTCAAAACAAAGGAAACGACGTACGATGCACATTATTCTCAGTCATTAATTCAAGGACTTTTCTTTTTGTTTAAGCATCAATAGTGTAAACGGAAATCTGTAAATTAAATTTAGATGACTGAAAGAACATACGCCGCTATGAAGAATATGCGTCTAAAAATAGTGATTCTATCATAAATCACTTACCAGAATTTTTTTAAGGTTTGTTTTTCAGTATATGGTAGTTTTTTAAAGTATTTCTTTAGTCGGCAATGAATTCAAATTCTAATTATGTGAACAAAAGAAGCTAAACCGCAAGAACTATTGCAAAAAGACCATGATGAAAAAAGAATTGTAGAAAAATAATTCAGGTATGTGACCGAATAAAACAAACTTAGAATTCCATAGAGTCTGTTAAAGTGAGGTGTTGAACAATTATTTCGTCGATAGCAACAATACCTTATGGAGAATGCCAATAACGCTCCTTTTCCAAACGTGATCGAAACGGGCTGTAAATGGCAAGGGTTGCGATTGACCTTAATGCACCTGTGGTGTTCGCTTCCTAGGACCTAATTGTCCACATTAACCTCATGTTGCCATGTCATTTAGAGGAAAATAGACCGCGGCTCTTCAATGAAATGCGATGACCTGATTCCGAACATAGATCTTCGTTTTGTTGGGATGAGCTCTTATGAGTGTAAGCGAGAAACGTACATTGGAGGTCAGCCGAACTCACGTTTTGCGATAAACGAGACAGGTGCAGCCCCGTGCTCCAATTCGTGATCAGAGTTCATTTTCGATTGCCTTTGAACCTTGTACCATCAAGATTGAGTTCTTCACTTCTTGAAGAGTTAACAAAGATTATTTAAATTTTTTAAACAGAATTTAACAGGCGAATAATGATTTCATTATTCAGCTAGAAGAGCGAGAAATGCCAATGCGGTGAATACATACTATATAATAAAGATATTCTACTATATTGTTCGTTCTTGATCT